TGATCGTCCCAGGATGATCCTCGATCGGCCTGGATGATATGTACAGAACTGCTGTTACAAGTTTGGCAATAATAGTGATGACTGCTATGGCTGGGTGTTGTGAACAAAGGAGAATAAGAGGAGGTGTTGACAGACTTGTTCTTGGGAGAAAGAAGCGGAGTATACTTTAAATCTCTAACGTCAACGTACTCATATATTGTGCAAGAATATGGGGTGACGAAGGAAAAATTATTAGGTCCTGACACCTGAGTAGCTCTACATTCACATGCCAATAACATGTCGCCACGTGCTCTTACTCTTTATCGTGCGGCCCGGCGACCCGACCCAGAACGAAACCCGGTATTACTATGTTCGGGTATTGTTAGGTATTGCTCGGTATTGCTAGGTATTGTTCAGTGTTACTAAGTATTGCTTGACAATAACTAGAAATACCGCTATGTCAAGACCAATACCGAGCAATACCTAGCAAAATTGGGGTTTGCTAGGTATTGCTCGGTATTGCTCTTGACAGATTGATATTTCTCATTTTTGCCGACCAATATCGAGCAATACCTATCAATACCCCGGTCTGCACAAATCAGTCAATACATAGCAATACCGGGTTCGGGTCGTCTGGCCGCATGGTAAAGAGTAAGAGCACGTGGCAACATGTTATTGGCGTCTGGATATAGAGCTGCGTTAGGTGTCCGGACCTAATAATTTTTCTGATGAAGGGTGTTGACAAAGTCAAGGTTCGATTATGACTGGTTATGTTTTTCTTTAGATAGATTCATTACAAAGTAAATATTGTGGAACATCAAATTTTTTTGTCAAAATACAATCTATATGTATATTGCAAAATATATGGTTCTTATATAATTTTTATTTATCCGATAATACCTTGTGCTTACTTTTGTTGGATGGATCCTTTATCTTGAAAAAAAAAAGCTTGGAGCTTCTGGTCCTATTTGTCTTAATAGTGTGTCTGTGTCTTCAATATTACATAATAACGTAAAATTTTACTTTAGGTTGTATATCAAAATTGTCCTGCAATTTCATTAACATGTGTTGTATATTTGACTATCTGTCTTACACTTATGAGTTGAATTTCTTATTCTTTAGAATAAATATCTTGTATATTAGTTAGTAATAATAATACATATACTTCTCTTGACAGGAATTCGATCAAGAGCTACTAACCACTTTTAAACTTTTTATGTTCATCAGTCTATATGATACGAAGCATTTTAATTAAGTGCAGTTTTAGGAGTATATTACCTCTTGTACCTAATTCTCTAGTGTTTTTTAGAATATTCTATAGCTAGCTTATATATGGAGCATTGTAGAAGGATGAGGACATTGATGAATATTATCTTCTTTTGAAGCTTTTGAAGTTTTGTGCTTATCTTTGTTCCATGGATTGGGAAATCACTTTTTGCATGTCCGATTCTTCCGACGATCACCACATCAGTTTGATATCGAAGCCTGGAGCTTGCGAAAAAAATGGACTGCAGAAGAAGGTGGGCTGTCGACGATGATCAAAGTCAAAGAATAAGATTGGCGATCGATGACGATCGATGCCAAAGAAGATGAGCTATCGATGATGATTGAAGCTGTATATCACTTTATCAAGCTCAAGTGAAAGCATCACTTGATCGAATTGACAAAATCCTTCGGTCCATAAGGAGAATATGAATTTCGTCGGCAACCATACTGAGGTATTCATCTTCTTCTTTTCTCCTCTCATCCGCTTCACATGATCGCAAACAGTTCTGAAATTAACCGATTGTGGTTGACGACTACCCTCTGCTTGAACTCCCTCTCCGATGGCATGATCCACCGCCAGAGTACCCTCCGCTTGAGCTCCCTCTCCTTCAATGTGACCCCCTCCACTTATTCGTGATCCCGAACCTCCATCTTCTTCTACTGCCACCACTGCAGATGATTCCAAACACCTCCGCGCAACTCCAGCGAGCTCGACTTTACTTCCTCCTCATGTATAACATTCCCAAGCTGAGCCAGTACAACACTCCCAAGTTGTTCGACGAAATGTCACTAAAGGATATGAACCCAACTTCAAGAGGCTGGAGGAGGTTGTGCAGAAACTTGATAAAGTTCTAGCTGAGGTGGAGAAGAGATACAACAACTATTGCGAGTATATGCAAATGGTGGTGAACTCATTTGACTAGATAATGGGTTTCGGTTCCGCCATGCCGTACAAAGCACTTGCACGAAAGGCTATGTCAAGGAATTTTAGATGCTTCAAGGATGCTATCACCGTCCAATAGAGCTGTCAAAACTGGGTCACGGGTCGGGTTCGGGTCCGATCTGAAATTGACCTGACACTGTTCAACCCGACCCATTTTTGCAAATAGGCCAGTTTTCTGAACCCGAACCCAACCCGATTCGGGTATATTTTATTAATTTTTTTAATTTAATTCAATTTATTTAAATCTAAATCAAATTAAGGTAAGATTTACTTCAATTAATTTAAAATAAATCAAGACTCATTTAATTTGGGCAATAATGTTTATAATTTTTTGAAATATCATTTACTTATTTTATAAACATCCATTAAAATCCTCCTAAATTAATTAAAAACGGGTCAAACCAGGTTGATTTTGGGTTTCTGGGTCAACCCTAACCCAACCCGATTTTACAAACGGGTCGAAATCCCTAACCCGAACCCAAAATTTTTGGGTCGGGTTCGGGTTGGGTTTTCGGGTCGGATCAAGTATTGACACCCCTACCGTCCAACTTAAGTAGGCATGCGAGCTTCTTGGTGACAATGATGGGGAAGCGGCTCTGGACTCACAAAAGGGAAAAAAAACCCAAGCTAAGGTTTATTGATCAGAATTTAAGGCAACAAAGGGCTTTTCATCAGATGGGAATGATAGAGCAGGAGGCCTGGAGACCTCAGCGAGGTTTGCCAGACAGATTAGTCTCCATACTCAGATCTTGGCTTTTTTAGCACTTTCTTCACCCGTACACTAGCAATGCTGATAAGCACTTGTTGGCTAGGAAGACATAGCTATCCAGAAACCAGGTCTCCAACTGTTTCATAAATGCCAGAGTCTGATTGTGGAAACATATAGTAGAAGACATGTACCAACAAGAAGCAAAGGAGGAGGAAGATTCACAGATCAATGAAGAAGATTAGAAAACAACCGCCCCCACCAAATATTATTGGCCGCAAAGCAGGAGCAGCAGTGTGCATTGTACAAATCACGTGAAATAGGATCTTGCCCAAAAATGATATCATCAGTAGAGGCAAGGATAAGAAGTTTGTTATGCAGTGGTTGAGAAAACCATGAAATGAGCATCCAAGAATTGATTCGTACAAAAACATTTCACTTCTATCTATAGTGGAGCATGGTGTTATGGGAAAGACAACTCTCTTGCAACATGTCTACAAAGTGAAATTTTAGAGAAATTTGATCTTAAAATGTGGGTTTGTGTATCCAATAACTTTGATGTGAAAAAAATCATTGTAGATATGTTGGAATCTCTTAAAATGAATATACCTCTTTTGGATACACTTTATGCACTGCAAAAGAGTCTTAAATATGAGATAATGTGAAAAAAGTTCTTACTTGTGTTGTATGACATTTGGGATGAGGAGGAGAAACGAGATAAAATTAAATGGGAGAATGTGCTCGCCTCTCTATCTTGTGGAAGTTTGGAAAGTAAAATTTGAGTAACAACTCGGATGAATTCTGCCGTTGAGTTCTACGTTTCAGATCCTAAACCCGATTATTTCAATCAAAATGAATCATACATGCTGCAAATAACAATTGCGAATGCTACTCTATATGAAATGCTAGTTTAATTCAATGGTTTCAAGGCTGGACCTCCTCACTTAGATTGGGGAAAGCCTCTTAATTTGATAATTTTGAAGTCTGCATTCAAAGTCTTTGACCCAAGGATCTGGTTAGGATGTCCACCTCTACCTCTTTCCTGATGACGAGCCTCGACAGAGTCGAGCTCTTTTGACGCAAGGGGAGAATGATATGGAGCATTTTTAATTAAGTGCAGTTTTAGGAATAAACTATCTCTTGTATATAGTTCTCTAGTATTTTCTACAACATTCTATAGCTAGTTTATATATGGAGCATTGTAGAAGGATGAGGGCATTGATGAATATTATCTTCTTTTGAAACTTTTGAAGTTTTGTGCTTTGTTCCTTGGATTGAGAAATTTCTTCTTGCATGTCCGATTCTTCCGACGATCACCACATCACTATATATCTATGAAAATGAACAATAATCAATACCGCTAATCTTGTTTCTATGACAAAAATACAACTCTTATATCATGTTAGAACTCTTATATCATGTTACAACTCTTATATCATGTTCTGTAAATAAATGCAACTCTTTAATTAAAATGAACAATTAATTACACTATCATATACATATATTCTAACATAAAATATCATGCTAGAGGAGCTTCAAACAAATTTTATTATTGAATAATCTTATATCAAAAAAATTAACTTATAACTATCCACTTACCTAAGAAATTCAAGCAGAGATCGGAGCTAGATGGAGACACACTTCGCCTGCAAATTGTTTAAGTCTTTACATAACATAACACTCAAATATCTAACTTAAAAGAATAATATATATATCATCATAGTAAGCTGTCGGGTGGACGCCTTTGGTTTTCTCCCCGCACTCCCGCGAACGCTTTTGCTTTCTCCCCGCAGAAGGCGGATCTGGTCTGAATGTATGGGCAAGCGCATAGAATGCACTCATCTATTTGACGCATTCTATTGAATGCACCATTCATTTTAGATAATTTTTTCATTTTTAAATTTCTGCTTTATTATGGTCCTATTGCTAAAAAGTATCTTATGCAAGCTCCTGAAGATTTGTTCGCCAAACAATTCCTAAATAATAACTTAAATACCAACATCAATAAATGGTAATTTTTTTTTTAAAATTTAATAGGCAGGTTCTCTTTCCCACGTGAACAATTATTACCAGTCTAAAAAAAAAAAAAAAAAAAATCTATGAAGTGGAGCGAACTGGTGCGATGGTTCTGCTGCCCAAACTATCTTTATAATTTCCCTTCTATTTCGTCTGTCTATGCTCTTCCGCATAAGGCTGGTCTAGGGTTTGCTTACCCTCCCGTGTTTTGCTTTGGCTTCGCGTGAAGTAGAGTTCGACACTAAAGAAGCTTTGTCGCCTCCTTCGACGACGTTGTTCTTGTCGGATCGGAAGTCACGGCGGGAGCTTGCCGCGAAGGTTACGACCTTTCTCCTCTTTATCCCGCTTCTTTGGGTAAATACGGTAAATCCGCCGAACTAGCGGATACAGGATTGAAATCAAACCGGAGAAGGAACGGTATTTAAGTTTCTGTAGAATTTAAGTTGTCATATTTGCTGTTTGGCAAGATTTAGACTAAGTCCTGCATCCAAACTGCCTCTTATGGTCATCATGGATAGACTCAAAGGCACGACGAAGAGTGTGTGGCTACGCCGCCGGCGTTGTATCTCGACGAACTCCTCATTTCTGCTAGCGCTAGTGTGTCTGGCTGGCAAGTTCCGCCCTACCTTTGCTCGGCAAGAAGTTTCCTGATCTTGTATTTGCTGCTCCCATTATCATCAAACCTGATTATTTTTAGCAAGGGTTTCTTTTTCTTTTCTCTCAACCGCCACTTCTTTCCACTTCAACCAGCTGTTGTTCGGCCACTGTGACGTGCATGTTGAGAGAGTATTTAGATGTATGAAGCACTTCTGCGCTCCTTATCTTCGCCTAGCTCTCTCCTTTACAAAAGCTTTAGTAATGATGTAGAAACCCTGACGCCACTTCACTAATTCTGTGATAGGAATGGTGTATTTACTCTTTGGATTGGGTTTGAAGTTGCTAGAGCTGAATTTTTAGCTTCAACTTAGCTAATTTATGCATTTAGTAGGTTTAACATATAAACCATAGATTCGTGCATTAGGGCATTATTTGCATAATGAACTGATTTCATGGTTAACATCCTTATTTTATGTAACTGTGCCTTAACAACTATATTGGAACCACTTCACCAGATTTTGTAGATTTTGGTAGAACCCCTTTTTTGTGATGATTGCCTACCTTTGTGGTGATGGATGAAACTTGGTGAGGACCCATTGAACTATCCTGGTAAAAAAATTTATATTGAAATAACTGTCAAATTTATACATCATTAAGTGAGATCTGGTCTAATAGGTATACGACTTGTTTGTGTTTTATGGTTTTGGTATGTGTGATTTATTTAGGGCTTGTTTTATTTTGTTTATATTTGGAATATTAGCTCCTTGCCATTACTAGTGGTATGCCTTTCTAGGTGTGCTATTTTCATATATTGTACCTGTGGAGCTACGTGAAACCCATACTAAACTTTTATATTGTGGCTTGTATTGTTGTCCTTAACATTTCGTCGCTATAATCATAATCTCTTCAAAGTTGTTGGCCTTAAATATTTGCCAACTTGATACATCATGCTTATCCTTTTGCATATTTATTTGTGCATCACATCCTTGCTGCTTAACCTAAGTCAATTGAGTTTGCTTTCATACTTAGGCCATATCTTTATCTATGGATTTAGGGCTTTGGTAGGAATTGTGTGTTCAGGGGCACTGAAGGCATATCCTCATTATTATTGGTATGTTGTTTTTGGGTTTTAATTTTCTCATTTTTCCTGTATATTATGAATTTGTTAGCATGCGATACTGTTTGAATTTGTCTCACTTACTAGGATAGTTAGTTGTGATTTTTGCACATTTTATTAGGGCAGCAAGTTATGTTATCTTATATAAGACTTCATACGTAAATGCGTGGGGAATAAAATGGGGTATATTGAAGGTTGATGCAAAGATTTACGCAAAAATGTTCAATAGAGATGATTATATAATTATAATTTATAAAAAGTTGCCATCAAATATTTTGGATAATGAAATGATGATGATGCCAATTTATATTTTTCTTTCTTTCCCGTCCTAGCCATCTCTATGATTATGTTGCATGTGGCCAGGAGTGAAAGTGATTTATAATAAAATGTAAGATTATTTCTTATTGAATTTGATTGTTGTCATTGCATTATGATTTTCTATAGTTTATTGTCATTTGATTTGTAAATGTAATTATAATTGTGGAGTTTCAAAAATAAATTGAGATAGTTTGGAAAGCATAGGATTGCTAGGTGTGACTGAATAATGTTGTAATTGAAACTTATTATATTTAATTTGATTTGCGTTTTGTTCACAGTAGTATTAGATCATCAGTTTAATAAATGAGTGCTTTGGCATGTATATGTATATTATGAATTACTCATTTTATAAATCAACTAGAAGACATTATTTTTGGAGACATGACCACTATATTACTGTTTATTATATTCAATTAACAACTAAGAAAAATATTATCTTAACATTATTGTATGTGATTTGTAACTAGTAAGTGTAAAATTTATCGTGGAAATAAACTTGTATTTGGTGTTATAAATAGAATATAATGTGTCAGGGCTAGACTTACTTCTTATGCCAAGTTCATTTGTGGTCAAACATGATTGATGGTAAACATCTTATTTAAGAGAGATAACTAAATATAATTTTATGAATTTGAGGCATACAAGGAGTATAAGTTAATAGATATTAGGAAGTTAATTAATATATAAGTGCTATGGTAATTTGTAGTTGCAAAAATTGGTATATTAGTTCAGGGTTTATATTTAGTAGTATTCCTACTAAATAATTAAGATTTGGAAGTTGAATGAATGAGAATTAATTTCAAGCTCAATTCATGATACAATTGAACTTGATTTGATTTGGAATTTGACATGATTTGAATTAGCATATGCATAACTCAAAATGTGTAAGATATATAAATATATACTCTATGTGCTATGTAATATATACCATGCATATAATATATATGGTTTTTTGCAAAGTTAAGCAAACACCAATTTCTAGCTTGTTTGCTCAAATAAAGTTTGATCTTGAGTTGAATAGAAATTAAAATTTTTATAATGATTTCAGTCCAACTCACTCAAACTGACAAGCTTACTTGAGTTGGCTTGCTCCTTGTGGGTTTGAGAAGCTTGTAAAGTTTGAAGGTTTGATACTAAATTATTATGTGAACACCTGTGATGCACATGATGGAGGATTGAAAACCGAAGAAGTTGAATGTGGAAGAAATTGTAAGGTCCAAGTCTATGCTCTCAAAACTTAAGGATAAATTAAGAAGAAGGCTTATATTCTTGGAATGCAACTACGTATTTGATATTTCTGAGATGACCTTGAACCACTATTAATTGATAATATTATAAATTATCACAAGCAGATGTATGGAGTTTAGTATAGGTTAAATTTTATTTAGAAAAAAAAGTTTTTTCTTCTTACAAAATAATCAAGGATGCATTGAATATCATCTTTGAATGCCCTCATAGTTAAAAATCTATAACAAATAAAGATTATACATTTGAGGTTCCATTATATAGGATTATTTATCATTAAGAAATATTTTTAATATACATGTTAAATTATAATTTTAGTGATGAAGCACAGCCTGGAAATGCTTGTTCTTACACATGCCAATGCTAATACCTACATACTTTGTCCTAAGGACATCTCTTTATGAATACAATTCACTTTGCTATTCTTGTTAGTGCTCCCATCTAAATATTAATATAAAGACTTGATCACACCTCACAAGGGTATGCATACATTACAAATGTATGTGCACATATAGTCTACAAAACTTTACTCAAGAATATTTAAACTTTCGTAGTATGTAACCTACATATATAACCATAAGTCCATATTTGTGATGTAACTTTCCAATGTATTTAAATTCTTAAGTAGATGTGCATAACGTGTATCAAACAACTTGAATACAGGTTACATGATATCCTTTTGAAGCATGCATCTTTGATATGCTTCAGGCAATTTATTCTATAATCACAATATTTCTTTTCAATGACCAATTCCTGAAGTAGTCATAATAAAAAAATCATTTGAAGTTTTCATTGAATTCTAATAAGCTGATTAAAGACTTTAGGTGCAACATCATAATATTGTTCAATACGTGAAACCATGCTCACAAACATGAAAACAGAAACATGCTTTAAGCTCTGTAATTTGTTGTATTCCATTTGGGCAGGGGCACTTGGGATTCTAAAGTTCATCTTCTTGCTACATTTTATTTTACCTATAATTTTGGATTTCCATCTCTTCTCTGTCATTCTTTTCTTTTTATTTTGGCGTACAGGGTTGAGATTTTATACTTATATTGATGCTAGAGTAGTTTTATGATTTCCTCTTGTATTTCTTTAGTTTTTTTCTTCTTGTTTCCTAGTTTATTTTTCTCTAATATGAAATGAACCGTTGTTGCAGAACTGCAAGGATTTTTTTTGACAATACCCTCAGCTATATATTTCTATTTTTGATGCATATTTGCATGTCAATATAGTGTTTTTGGTAAAGAAGTTTGTTCCATTTGCATTAGATGGATGAAGAGAGAAAATGTCGTAGGAAAAGATCCTATTTTCATGATAGCTTTATAGAAAATGAGGTAAGCAAGAGGAGAAGCCTCAATGATCAAAGAGAGCTACATGATCTCCCAACTGAACATACTGTATACCGCTATTTATGTCCTAAAGGAAAAGCAGGACGTGTAATTGGCCAAGGTGGTGAGATTATGAAGCATATAAGAGCTGATACTGGAGCCAGGGTACTGATTGAAGGTGCTATGCAAGGTTGTGATGAGCGTATTGTTACTATCTCTAGTTCATTCAAAGAAACCAATCCCTTCAATTATAAAAAAGATTATGTTTGTCCTGCACAAGATGCCCTCTTCAGGGTGCATGAGAGGCTTGCGCTAGATGGACCATTGATTTGTAATGAAGATGACCACTTCAGTGCTTTTCAAGTTACTGCTCGCTTGCTGATACCATCAGATCAGTCACGCTGCGTTATTGGGAGGCATGGTCATACTATAAAGAATATGAGGAAGGACACTGGAGCTCGAATTTGCATTTGGAATGATGAACGTATTCCAATTTGTGCTGATAGTACTGAAGAACTTCTTGAGGTATGGAGTAGAAATATTCTTAATATCCTTTGTTAAGAACATACATTTTATTGTTTATAACAGCTTACCTATTGAATTAATTTAAAACTGTTACGTTTGCTATAAACCCTATTTTCTATTTTTAGAATTTTACTTTGGGCCCCTCAATTTATTTTATGTTTACCCTTACGTGTCTACCATAATAACTTTATTTCTCTACCGTTAAATGCTATCAGGTGATCTTGTATGAGATGTTTTTTATTATTTTTTTGTGAGAAAATGCAACATACACTTCTTCCTTAATGCTACTATTTATCCACACGATAGTCCTTACATAAAGAAGCTATTGTAATAGGGATCTAAGTGAAGTGCTTAAAAAAATGTGAACCAACATTAAGTGTAAATTATACCTCCTGGACTTTAAGTGTAATTTTCTATTTTTTGTTTTATGTTTTGTGATTCCTTAATTTTTGTTTTGCCTTGATGATTGTTGGCTTCAAAATATGCATTATAAGGAGAAAATAGAACATATCACCTCGAGAGAGGGAAACATTTGCTCCTCATGAGTTCAATGTAAGGCAAACAAATTTAGCATATATTTGTTTTTTTAATACTTTATAGAGAGGGATTATACAACGACAAACAACAACAATATCAAACCTTTATCCCACTACGTGCGGTCGGTTTATATGAATCCTTTTTCTCCATTGTATCTTCTTAAGTGTCTAATTCTCATTTAACTAATAAAGAATGATATTTTCTAATATTTTCTAACCAAGTCTTTTTAAGTCTATCTCTACCTTTCTTAACATAGGCTAATCTACTAAATCTACTCCCCTAACCAAGTCATCGGAAGGCCTTCGTTTTATGTGATCAAATCATATAAGGGGATTCTTTATTTCTCTCTAGTCTTATGTGCCACTAGAGCTACTCCAACATATGTATATACTTATTTCATATCTTGTCTCTATGAGTAAAGCCACTCTCTATCTGAGCATCCTCAACTTCTCAACACTTAATTTAATATTATGCTTTTCTTTTAATGGTCAACATTCTGCACCACAAAGCATTGCAGGTTTCACCACCATCTTATAGAATTTTCCCTTATGTTTGAGTGGTACTTTTCTATCACACCGGAAGCCCGATGCATTCCTCTACTTTAACCATCCAACTTGAATTCTGTTAATAATATCCCCATCTATTTCACGATCACTCTGAACAATAGATCCAAGATACTTAAAACTTGTACTCTAATGACTTGATCACTCAATGTCACAACTCCCGACTAGATCTATTACTACTAAAATTATACTCCATGTATTTGATTTTAGATCTACTCAAACGAAATTCTTTAAACTCTAAGGTTGACCTTCATAATTCAAGTTTCCCTTCAACTCCCTCTCTAGTCTTATCAACAAGAAGAATATTATCAACAAAAAGCATGCACCAGGGTATATCCTCTTCAAATCTCTAGTAAGACAATCCATGACTACAACAAAAAGCTATTGGCTTAAGGCTGATCCTTGATGTAATCCAATTGAAATAGGAAAATACTTGATCAAACCACCTTGTGTTTGAACACGAGTAACATATCCCTAATGATTTGAATATAAGCATTATTAACCCCTTTCTTTTATAGAACTCTCCATATCACTTCTCTTGGTCATATGCTTTCTCTAAATCAATAAATGTCATATGAAGACCCTCCTTATTCTCTCTATACTTCTCCATCAAACCTCTCAATAAATGTATAGCTTCCATAATAGACATACCCGGTATGAATACAAATAACTCACTATATAGATTCAAAAGAAATACATACACGCAACAATAAAAGTTTTTCTTAAATATTTTCTCAGTTTAGCATAAGGAAGGCATAGATGGAGTTTATTTTATTCAGAGTCAAATTTCCCATAAGTGCAATATGCTTTGATTAATTAAATTTTAATCCGTTAAACTCTATGAACACTTTTGATTAATTATATGACCATGACTTGAGACTTAATAGTAGTTTAAGAATGATCAATTCTAAAAAGGAGGTAAACAATGATCTTTAACTCCAGTTGGTGTTACCAATGTGTTCTTTTTTTTAGTTGCTTAATTATTATCTGAAAATAATAACTGTTTTAAAACCCGTATACACATGCTTTTTTACTCCTATTTTTACCAGTGCCATGGTCAATAATTCCTTACTTCAGTAGCTCTATGACTTCTAGTAATTAAATTATTTCATCTTGTAAAACCTATTTGGTATCAGATTAGTGGAGATGCTTTGATAGTGAGAGAAGCTTTGTTTCAAATTTCATGTCTCCTTCATGAACATCCATCAAGGTCCCATGACCAGATTACTTCCAAAGCATCCTACAAACCATTTAGTTGCAATTTGGTCTGGAATCCAGCAACAAGGCCTTACACTCCAACGGAGGATAGTTATGAGTTTATCTTGAGGTTGGTGTGCCCTTCTGTTAATATTAGAGAAGTGATTGGCAAGGGTGGTGCTAATATCAATCAGATCAGGCAGGAATCCGGGGCAACAATAAATTTAGATTGTTCTTTTGATGAAGAAGACTGCATGGTATTAATTTCAGCAAAAGAGGCATGTCTTACTTGTTCAGTTTCTGTGATTCTTTATAATCATTGCAATTATCTTCATGCACAAATGTTTTATTTATCCTCGATTCACTTAGTATGCAGTTCATGGGAATCTCAAACTCGCCAACCATCAATGCTGCGACACACTTGCAACCTAGTTGCAGTAGGAAGTTGGAAAGCGGATGTGAGGGACCTTCATATGTGACACGTCTTCTGGTGCTAAGATCACAGGTTGGTGGTTTGATTGGGAAGGGGGGTTTTGTCATCAAGGAGATGAGGAGAACTACACAAGCAAGCATCTCCATAGTTGAAAACTCGCTTCCAAGTGTTGCATCTGTGGATGATGCATTGGTACAGGTAAGGATGCATGCATTTATTGTTTTCTGTCTTTTTCCTTGAAATATTGTGTACTCAGCAGGGTATGCTAGCAGTTCATTATGTTGAATTTTTCAAAGTAAGATGAGATACTATGATCATCTGTATTTCTAGATTTGTGGAGATCTTCCAAATGCCAGAGATGCCCTTATACAAGTGATAGAACGGTTGAAAATCACTCATTTTGCAAGGAAGGGCTTACTTTTGACACCCCCTTCTACTTCATCTCATTTTTTGTCAAGAAATTCTACTCATGGATCAATATGTTCTGGCAGAAGCTTTGAACCATTCAATCATGGACATTCCCACTCTATTGAGTACACTGCTTCTGTTGGTAGGGTGCCATTAGAAATCCATGCTGTCTCTGGTGGTCCAGAGGTACTTTATTTGCTTATACAATATGCAGTAGTTGGGAAATCAGATGGGCACGTCCATGCACTTGTCTACTATTTGACCTATGTTTCAGTTTTCTATTTTTAAAATTTCTTTTTTTCATCATTTTTTTTTCGCAGTTTAATTTTCTATGTTAATATTTTCTGCAGATTGATGGTGATAATTAGATATTTTGGTGAAGTTTATAAATTTGGCGGCATCAGGTAAGAGTTTTCAAATTGTCATAATTTCTTGATGAATATTTTATAGGCTTATGTTTGTGGTGTTTAAAGTAGTGCATAAGAGAAGTTGCCTATTGAGATTTATATATATGCAGATAGTGATATGAATTAGGCTGGCTGTGATGAGCCTTATATGCTAGCTTGTGGTTGAAGCACAAATAAAGACATGGGACATGGAGAAATGAGCAAGAACGTGTTGGCAGGATAAACATGAAAAGTGACATATCATTACTGATTAATACACACAATTATATATATAGAAACTCAAATAAACGGGTGTTTGTGTTTTCACATTCCTGTTACATATAAACATTAATATATTTTTGTGTATGTGTTTGTGTTTGCATTTGTGTATGGGTGTGCATGGTGGATTTTTCTCCTTCTTGGAGGAGAATCAACATTCTCCACTCTATTAAAATTTGATATTATGATCTTAAAATTCAAGATTAAAAATGTCATTTTTTCTTGATATATATGGAAAATATTTATTGTTGGAGTGTCTTGAACATGGTTTAAAAAATCGCTCATGGTGTATGCTTCAAAGAGTGCCTTGATATGAGATGTGCAAAAAACATGAGGCTGATGCCTCATTATCCGTAGGGAGACTTATGATTTTTTATTCTAAGTATGCACCTCGAATGATTTTTTAAAATATGCATTTGAACACATAAGTTTATCGTTGTTGGAATAAATATTCTGAATACGGTTTAAATATAGTCCGAATAAAGTTTGAATACAACAATAACATCAAGTCTTTGTCCCACTACGTGGGGTCAGCTACATGAATTTTTTTCGTCATTGTGTTCGGTTAAAAGTCAAATTCTCATTTAAATCTAATAAAGAAAGATCATTTCTTATATTTTCTAACCAAGTCTTTTTAGGTCTACCTCTGCCTTTCTTAACATAAGTCAAATCTAACACCTCAACTTTCTTAACTGGGTCATCGGAAGGCCTCCGTTTGATGTAACCAAACCATCGAATGTGACTCTCTCTAATCTTATCTTACACTCTAAGAAAGGTAGAGGTAGACCTAAAAAGATTTGGTTAGAAAATATTAGAAATGATCTTTCTTTATTAGATTTAAATGAGAATTTGACTTTTAATCAAACACAATGACGAAAAAAGATTCATGTAGCCGACCCCACGTAGTGGGACAAAGGCTTGATGTTGTTGTTGTTGTATTCAAAATTTATTCGGACTATATTTAAATCACATTCAGGATATTTATTCCAACAACGACAAACTTATGTGTTCAAATGCATGTTCTAAAAAATCATTCGAGGTGTATACCTAGGATAAAAAATCATAAGCCTCCCTACGGATAATGAGGCATCAACCTCATGTTTTTTTGCACATCTCATATCAAGGCACTCCTTGAAGCGTACACCATGAGCGATTTTTTTTTAAATCATGTTCAAGACATTTCAACAATAAATATTTTTCATATATATATCAAAAAAAGGACAATTTTAATCTTGAATTTTAATAACATAATATCAATTTTTAATAGGGCGGAGAATGTTGATTTTCCTCCAAGAAGGAGAAAAGTCCACCCTGCACACCCACACACAAATGCAAATACAAACATATACACAAAAATATATTAATGTTTATATGTAATAAGAATGTGAAAATACAAACACCCGTTTATGTGAGTTTTTATATATATAATTGTGTGTATTAATCAGTAATGATGTGTCACTTTTCATGTTTGTCCTGCCAACACGTTCTTGCTCATTTCTCTATGTCCTATGTCTTTATTTGTGCTTCAACCGAATAAGGTTTGAATGCTTATTCAAAAAGATTTAAATACTTATTTGAACATGGTTTGAACCATGATCAAGCCTTATTTAAACCATGATCGAAAATGGTTGGAACAAGGTTTAATCATGGTTCAACCATGTTCAATCATGTTTCAAATAGGGCACAAACATCTTTGAAACAAGTTTGAACCATGTTCGATCACTATTTGAATGCGGTTCATATGTTCTAATAAGTTTCACATTTATGATTGTGAACTATTTTTCCCCCTTAGTACATGAATTTATGATTTATGATGATGAAGAAATTAAATCTATCAATGATTTATGCTATATTTATAAATTATTTTTTAATTGTATGAGTTTTTAAAAAATGTTTTTGTGGTTTATGGTTCAATCCACCTCAAGGCTAATGCCTCGCCTCACTAAGGCAAAATGCTTCAATTCTCAATTTTGTCTTTTTAAACTTTAGTCCTGACAATCATATCATAGGCCAAGGTTTGACCAAATATATTTCAACTCGCATGGTAAACATCATATCGACATTTGGGTCAAATCCCTATAGTTCCACCACTAGAAAGTCTTGACAAGCTTGGGTTTTGTTGAATCCAAATTTGTTTGGTGAATGATACTCGACTTTACTAGCAGATCCTTTTGGTGAGTTGAGAACCTGTTAGTGAGAATGGATAGTAGGGAGAGTAGAGAGGAAAGTAAGTTGGTAGAATATCCACCATCTCAATTAAAAAAATACGAGAACTGAAACTCTTGATAAAAAAAGTTCAAAAAGTTCCAAATCGTTCATCATCACCCCTCATTTGTAGGGTTTTGAGGGCTATAAAAAAGGTCATACAGAGAAAAGTAAAAATACAAGTCACACATAATACTGGTATAGCACTACATACTAATCTACGATATGTGTCGCCTCTTGGTTGCTTGGTTGCAGGATGGCGAAGTCAATAGTCCAGTGAATTGTCTGTTATTGAGTGAGCTTGGGAGGGACGAGGAGGAGTAGAGCGAGTTTGTGGGCTATTCCTGAGGGGATATAGCTCTCATCAGGTCAGCAATTGATGTGGAAGGCATGCAGTCGCCTTGTCAGGAAAGGCGAGCGGAGGTGTTTGCAGAGGGTGAAGAGGCTTTGGGCCTGGTATTCGTTGAAGGGATTGTGAACTCTCTAGGGTGGGTGCTTTCTATAGTTGAGTATGGAGGTATCGGAGGAGGACAATCTTATTGAGACGAGTGACAATCTATTTGCTTAGTGAGGAACTTCTTGGTCACCCAGAGCTGGGGGAGCTCCCTTGCGGATGTGAGTGAGCGATGCTTGTCATTCTCCTTGGGTGAGTTTCTCTGCTGATTCCGAGCTAGTCCTTTGTGGGATTTGCTCCTGAGAGGGGATACCCTCATCACGACCCGGTTGCTATCTATCCAAATGTTCGGGAAGGAAATCTTGGGTATACAAGTTCCAAAGGAGTTGAAATGCTTAAATTCTAGAGCATAAAATGGTGATCACTATAAGTGCCATCTCAAAATCATGGGTGATCATTCTTTATACAAGGTTCCAACGTGAGCAAACACTACAACATACCAATGGGTAAATTCATGCTCTTGAAGAAGATCCTGCCACCTCTATAATCCATTTAAAATGTCACTCCCATTTGAAAGGTGGGAAAATAGGTAAAGAAATATGAAACCAAGATCGTGGGTGAAAATGAGTTTCCCTGTAATGAAGAAAATTATTATGTTGATGGTAATTAGGTTGTGATACAGACCTACATCACAACTTGGCTTAGGTTGTTTGCATTTACATAATCAACCTCCCCAAAGGGTTTATCTCTGCTTAAAAAATTGGAGCGTGGCTTCAACCGCACAAGTAGAAGATAATCATGATTAGTTATTGCCAGAAAATATGCCTTCCTAGCAACAAGAGGGATTCAAGTAAGATGATTATCCTTATGAGCTCATAGCATGATTGCATCAACAAACACAACATCAACTGCACATTAGGGATGAAGAGATCAATCAGTTACATGTTAGCCTATGTAATGAACATCGTGATGACAGACCTCTTTTTGGTCAACTCAATCTAGTAGTGGTTGTTAGATGCCAACAAATAATAGCTAAATTTGTTGTGCACTTTCTTTACTTTTTGTTGCTTATGAAGCGAATTCCTCCATCCTTGTTTTTCAAGAAGGTTAAATCATTTTGTTAGGTCAAACTCCTTATTTTGTTATTAAGCACAAAAGTGAATGGCTAAGACTTATCCTGATGATTATGATAATGAAACTAGTAGAACAAAAAATTCTGCAACCAAAGATTCCAGATTCATTTAAATGATGCTTCCTAATTGTTTTGCCTAAAAAATGCTGAAGGACCAGTTTGTTCGTAACTGTTCATTTGAAAATAAATTTATGAGGGTAAGTATTTTTTGGGCCGAAAAATGGAAACTAAACTAGAATCGAATTGAAATGATCGAAGATTCATAGCTTAATGGTTGGTTTCATTTTGAAGTTTTAGAATTCGTTTTGGTTCTATTGCAAACAAATTTCAACTTGGAACCAAATTTAATTCGATCTTTAGTTCCTTTTTTAATCTTTAGTTTTTGGTTTTTTATTTCTTTGCCTTGCTGTGCTGCTAGCGAGGGGTTTTAGGTTCTTTACTCAGGTCATCTTTTATGGCAAATGGCAGGTTGTATTTGGCCATTTTTACTTTTGTTTTAATCATGGTGGTTGCACTTGTGGAGGCACGAGGTTCTTTGTACTGTGGATAAGATTTTCATGTAGATATGCTAGAATGCCATTATTTCTATTCTTTTATTTCAATAAAAATGCATTTCTTTTGCTTTTCGTTTCTGTTCCATGTGGAGCAATTTTCTTGTTGTGCACCACCAATTTTATTTCAAGTAGAGGAAGAAATTTAGTTGTGGAAGGTATTATATCTGATCATTCTATAGAAATGATAATCTAGATTCCTTTATTGATTTGATTTATAGTATTTATTTGAGTATAGTTATATCAATAATGGAAGAAAGAATGTTGCATTCTCTAATGATAATTATTTGCTCTCTTGTTGCAAAGTTGTTCTCTGAAATTCTGATATTATCCTGCATTTTATCATTATTTCTTTTACCACGGCAAATAGCATGCGCTAGTGCATTAGTTGCTCACTTGGACATGGCATGGCATATTAGGCAACATTTGGATTCATGTTCTAGGTATATCTTATAATCACTATGTCAACACAGAAATAGATGCCCTTTAAACTTAAAATATACTGCTAAATTTTCATTGTGGATTCCAAAACCCTAAACTATGCACATACCTTCTTTTATAGAAATTGTCCATGTGAATACAAAATTATGGAAAACTATTAGCTAGTTATTGTACAGATGTCGATTGGCATATAATAAGGCAGGAAGAAAGAGACAAATGTGAGAATATAAAGAGGATAATTTATGAAAATTTTCGTCTTTGTTTTTGTTTTTTCTGCTTGCAAGTCACTGAACATGTGTAAATACCATAAAATATTTGTTTACTCCAGAACTAGTGCCTATTTGGCTTCTTCTAGCTGAAGCATGTCTGCACCGTACTTGGCTTATTAGGATTTCTTGATCATATGCTGAGATTATTGTAATAACCATCATGCTTAATAGAAGGTCCTGGAAATCATGAAGAACCTTGCTTTCTTTAGGAAATCTGCTTGATTATAACTTTGGAAGGAATCAATACCAGTGATTTTTATATGAGCATCTCCACAAAATTACAAATTCTTTCTAATGATTGATTAATCATTTAGGCGCACTCAAACATTTCTTGTAGCCTTAAGCTGATTTGTTCTTTTAACTTGAATAATTAATTGCTTATATTGTTTCATCAAAAGGTTGTCTACCTACTAATCGTTAACAGGTCTCCTTACGTTTGCTTTATCATTACCTTAACATACATGTGATAATTGATATAGGTTATCAGAATGGGAATTGTACATATGCTGAATGCGATCTCTGTTGAAAGTGAGAGATTATTAAGGTACGCAGCTCTCTATGTCCATAAAGCAGGATCAAAGTACTCATGTTTTTGTGAGTAAATATGTTTGTGCTGTTAATCTGTATGAGTAAACAGCTGTGTACTCCTGTTTTATGGATCTAAGAGTCCACGCCTAAAAATTTATCGTTGAAGTTGTGTAGTGATGAACTACCGTAATGGCCCCATCCAATTCTGGTTCATGTCTCTACAAGTCTGGAGAATGCATCAAGTACAGGTACAGCAACATCTTTTGTAGATTATTTCTTCTCATCAGCTTGTGCTATAATGCTTTAATATCAATCCCGGCCTTGGGATTTCGGCTTCAATTTCTTCTCTCATTAACGTCTAAAGAGTATCTGTAAATAATATCATCCACATGTAAGTGAGCTGTCTGCAAGTGCGATCCGTCCAGTTTGGTTTTGGTTCTGGGCTTTTGTACTAGAATGCTAACTACAATTGTTATTTTTATTTATTAATATTTTGCTTCAGTTTTGGTAATAGTGCTCCTACTGCATGTCGGTCAATTTTGTAGAATATCTGGAATTATTCAGTTCAGTAAAATAGTCTATTGTTTGTATGCTCATAATTGTATAGGTAAAGACATTCAAGTTCTTCTCAGATGGTTGTTGTGGGGTGCGTAGAAGATGATTTTGTGAAAATAAATTTGACACCAAAGCTTGCTCTCCGGCCTGTTAAAGAAGCCCCCAAATTAGATTCTCATGGAAGTTCCACCGCTCGGTCTTTACCAAGATACATGACAAAAGATAGATCCTAATTATCTCAAAATTTTCCCCCAAAACATCCAACCTTTCGATTACAACTAGGCTTCTATTTATATTTACAAGTTATGTCAATGGCACATCCTCAAAAAATTATCTTGATCGGGCACGAATCTCAAGAAAAAATTAAGTTGGAAACTTTTAAAATTAAAATTTGGACCATCCGAACTCATATTTCTACATTCGAATTGAACATCTTGGAAATACGAACCCACCGACACCAAAGTCAACTCAATCTGAGCCCAAATGGGTCCAATTCAAGGGCCCGAACTGTTGTTGGAGGGTTCGAATCATAATTTGGATTTCCAAACGGTTTCCAAATGTGATATGCTATAGTAGAATCGAGTGGCTCGACGAGATGAATCCAACGAGCCAAAGATCATGGAATTCTGACATCATTAAGACCTTAAAATGTCTAGCAAACAATTTGATAAAGAGATTTAATATCGGCGTCTATCCAAATCACTACCCATTTATCCTTGATCTTCCCTTACACTTTAATACCCAAACCTTCCTAATACAATTTCCCTCCCAAAACCTCCTCTCCCCACTCCATTTGAATTTCCCTTTATTAAATTAATGGGGCCTGCTCCTTTTGAGCGGAACAGGCAGAGGAGGCGGAAGTATTCCGCCTCTTATAAACCAGCGGCCCTTTGGCCGGCTGGTTTTGGACCGGTTCCAAGTGAACCGGTCTAACAGCCACTCTAGGAAATTTATAAATAGACCACTCATTTCTCTTGAAAGGGAACTCCTAAGTCTAAATAAACAAGAGAGATATCGGAGATCGCTCTTGCCTCCTTGCTTCCTTGCCTCCTCGACCACTGCCCAGAGCTCCGTCGAACCACCACCTGACGCCCGGTGTTCCGCTGTACCTCCACTTTACGCCCGTAGTTCCACCAGACCACCACTTGATGCTCGGAGTTCCGCCGGACCACCATCTGAAGTCCGGTGTTCGCCAGACCACCACCTGACGTTCGAAGTTTCGCCAGACCACAACCTGACGTTCGGAGTTCCACCATACCATCTAGTGACCCCGAAATTTCACCGGATTACTAATTAACACCTGTATTACCAAATCACGTCAGACTTCTGCCACACCACTAAGTGACGTCTAACTTTCATCCCCATTTGTCATTAGATTTCAACCATACGGTTGGCATTTATAATCTGATTGCCCTCAGGGACAAGTCAGCCCATAATAATCTATCCAAACACTTGTAGAATAATTTCAGACTAGGTCAGACCCCGTGATTTTTTCGCTTTCAAGTGTTTTCCACAAAAAAAATCTTGTATTATCTGTGTGTGAGCTATATATCCTTACAACGTTAAGACGTAATACTATCACTCTATCGCCGCATATATTCTAGCCCGCAACAGTTTGACGCCGTCTATGGGAAACTTAATCCCACTATCCTAAGCACCACTTTGATGGCCAACAAGCATAGTAATCGTATCTTGGGAGCCTTCCATCCAACTCACACCAATTCAGGAATCATTTCATGAACCAAGGGCGCCAGACATCTGCTTCTTTTTACCTCGGTGGAAGAAACCCTATCGGGGAAGGGACATCATGACCCTCCTTGGAAGATTGCATCAGGAAGATGGAGAAATCTCAGAATGAGATCCTTCAACTCTTGTGAGAAACTCGACGACCAGCACTGGCGTCCAAGATTTTGAAAACCAGATCGGACAACGATCCGGAAGAAGAAGAGGTTTACGGTTCGACCAATTGACCTGGGGTCGAACTGGATGATGTAATAAATAATAATATTATTAAAATTATAAAATGAATGAGAAATTTTCATATAATACATTCACTCTAAATTTCATTTTCATATCAATATATTTTAAACCAATTGCAAATAAACATATGTAACCAAACAATTACCCCTTCTTCCCCATTCAACTTGCAACAAAGTGGACTGTAACTTAGCAAATAGAGACCAGCATTTAAAATAAATAGTTATTATTAAAATAGTTTATTTTAATAAATTTAAATTTTGATTGACTTCGAATGGTTTGATTTGATATGGGTCGAGTCAATACTACGTCATTAGGTATTCACCTAAGGGAAGTCCTATAGGTGATTTCTATGCTAGGTTAAGAAAACCTAGGTGCTAGATCTTAATTCCGGGGAAATTTACCTCAAAAAATGAGGTCACCAGTAATCATTCATGGAATACAATGAAGTAATATAACTTGCAGAAAAATGGAGATTAGTGATGTGGGTTGCGTCTTGAGTTTTGGTGCAAGGGATAAAGTCCATCATTTGGCACCATTACGTAATCTTTATCTTGTTGAGTACGAGAAAGGCTGACTATAGAGATCATTCTGACATTGGTCCAAGGAATGCCTGACACTGATAGAGATAAATATAATCCTGTGTTCTATCCTTGACTCTTTGCTATACGACAAACATGTCATTGTTTTATATATCGGTTCACATCTCTTGTTAGAAATGGAAAAAAAAACCTCCTCACATTCAAACTTAAAAACTAAATTGAAATCAGGCAGAGTTGGCATCAGGGCGAATGTTTTTATTTTTAAGTTATTGAGGCTGCTATGAGTTCATTTGGCTTAATGTAGTTGTCAATGATGTCATGATGGGGATAAAATTTTATATAGATTTGCGGTAGAAAGAAACTAAGCTGTTCAACTTTTGCATATTTGTGAATGATTATGGAGTTGCTCATGAGTTGGTCCATTTTATTCCTATGCTTGAAATGACAGCCCCCAGAAATTAGTGTTTTTCATCTAAAACTAACACTTCAAGTTATGAGAAGAGTCTTGAGTCACTCTACAATCAAGCCTTAAAAGCTATTTTTCACTTGTCCTCGGCTCGGATTTGAATATAGTGTTATCCACAACAAAAATCAATTTATGAGAAGAGTCTCAAGCCATGGAGTTTATCGAACAAGTCATCTAGACGTGGAATGAGAAATCCCTTGATTTACCATTAGCCATCCCTTTTGGTCACAAGGAGGGTAGGTATAAAAGTGGGTCTTGCACTGACTCACCAATTCCTTGATCTACTCATTGACTTTTCTTTGTAATTTTAAATACTCTGTTGAACGCATTTAGTAGGCCAGTTGGTGTGGATTTGTATATCTAGAAATAAAATCACTAATATTTTATATGCCTCACCACATCGTCGCCGTCAATACCATTGTCAATCACCTCGTGAAGGTATAAATGTTCTAAAAACTAAAAAATCTCAAACCCAACTTTCGTCATTCGCGGTGCAATGGAAAATCACATATACACGTTTTTCTCTAGCATAATGGGAGGACATTCAATGAAAAGCTTGCGACGAGGCGGGCATGCCTTGTACAAGCTTTCCTCTAACATGACAGGGACAACTCTAGTACCCATGTATGTGCCATCATGCTTGCGGGGAAAGAATTATGCATTTTAAATAGGTATCTCTGAAGACCCATACACATCTTTTTTTGGCGTGGTGGATTGAAGAAAATGGTCGTGGAGTCCCTCGATACTTACCATACATGCTTTTCTCTAGTGTGGTGGGAAGGTCCAACTTCAAAAATTTTGCATAAACGGAGAAGATGTCGAGTGGTTGTCGAAATTCGAACTAACGCCACACAGAACTTAAATTGAACTACTGGGAATCAGACTTGAATGAACACCTTAAATAAAATTATAACTTGCACAAAAACAAAAATCAAGAATGAATAAGTAAACAAATAATTTGTAGTTTTCAACATGACTCGCTCGTGAGTAATGACATTGAAGGGAATGCATAATATACTTGCAAGAAAATGTACAAAATCCCTAAGTGATATTATAAATTGCATATAAATGATGACACTTCGAGGTGTTTTGCTCACATCAGTCACACAAATAAATATAGTAATTTTTGCAAGCAGTAATCAGAAATTTCGCAAGGATGACGGGTCCTCTATGAACACAGATACATACACAATGTATCATCTAGAACAATATATATGCAATGCACATAAACCTCTAAGATGTCATTATAGGAAACTAGTACTCTATATGATACATTATTGTGAACCTCCAAAAGGGAACAAGGGGTGCGGGGGACAGAGCGCGGAAGGGTACGACTACACCATCCTAAAGGACGAAACAATCACAGGCCTTTGCTCTCTTCACAAGCGAGCCAATAGGAGTGGAGATTAGATCATACATACGATTAACTATTGATGATAACAATTCTTGTTTATGCACCTTGATGGGTAATAATATGCATAACCTGATCAGAGTCATGGGATTTTTCCCACCCGATACATCAGCTTGAGGGGAGTTTATTTGTTGTGGAATTTGGTTTCCTATGGGCACAAGCCCCCGTGGTTAATTACATCTCAATCCGGGGCTTGAGAAGACTCTCGATTAAGGATTATACATTATTTTTTCAAATGAGATTGACATTAGGAAGGAGACTATAAAATTTCTACTCAAAGGGAAGGAATGGTTCAATCTGGCTTATGCAACACACACAACTCACATCAACATTTGGGGGGACTAAGATAATAAGAAGAAACTTGAAAAAAAAAAAATGAACAATGCACTCAGAACATGCAAGAGATAAGGATGGAGGTGGCGTCATCCTTATGGCACGGATATGCATGATTTATAGTCCTTGAAGGATATATATCTTACCCACCGATGAGGCATACTACGAGACACTGATAGTAGTAGCCTTGAACCCTAAATATAAAATGGGTTTAGTATTTCATACAC